AGTTCAAGAATTCTACTAGCTTTATTTGAACTAAGGGGAAAAGAATCACGGACTTGTTTAGCTTGTGGGCAAACTTCACAAGGTTTATTCAATTTCTTTTGAGCAGTACTAGTAATAAAGGTAGGCAACAATTTAAGAACCCGATCCGAGGGATGACCCAACCGTCGATGCCACAACTCAAACTCTGTCAAAGCCCCCCTTGAACCACGTGTAAAATAGGAATCTTCCGAAAATAAAACAGCCCATCTTGCCTTTCACCGGCTCCAATCAGGCTCCTCGAGCGTAGGTCCTGTATAGCACAAAGAGTTTTAGTAAATGTGACTAAACATTCCGATTGATCCGTCAGCTGTAATACAAATATAAGTTGACAATTTAAGCCTGGCACATATAAAACACGCTCAAGAATAAGATCCGTGGAAAGTGGCACCCGGCCCACCAATATAGCAGAAACCTGTATACCGTCTGGTAAACCTACCGGACAGTTATTTATCCTCGTGGGATTAAGGAGGCATGTGGGGTCACCCGTAACATGATGGGATGCCCCCGTATCAAGTATCCACTCAAGAAGGGAAAAATTCTTACCCGACATGTGGTCACAAGCCCGATTTTTGGTATTAATTAAATTTAAAAGAGCTTGTATTTGCTCCTTACTCAACGTGGCCAGACCCCCTGTTTCGCCTCCAGAAAGAGCACCACCACCGGATGCTGCACCACTGGGCGAAGCCTGGATGGCATCAGAGGAGTTCACTGGTGCCACCACTGCGTGAGTGCGAGCACCACCCCCTCTGCCAGAATGTCCTTCTCGCCCAACAATCTGTCCCTTGGAGCGGTTTCGCTCCTCCCACCAATCGGGGTACCCGTGGAGCTTGAAACAGGAAGACACCTCGTGTCCCTTCTGTTTACAGTGAGTGCAGATGGGTCGAGGACGATCTGCCCGGTCATCCCGACTCCTCCCAGTTCGTTCCGTTCGAAGAGCAAAGGCTTGAACATCTGCCGTCGACATGGTCTTTCCTCGAGCTATTGCACATGACTGCTCCTCTTGTGAAAATGCTTGATGGGCTCGATTTAGGTCTGGTAGAGGCGTATGAGACAGGAGGTTTGACCTTACTGTACCAAAAATCTCATCATCTATTCCGACGAGGAATTGATGCAACTTCTCTTCCTCACGATCTGCTGCGAATCTGTCAACAACGCCACACGTGCACAATCCGCAAGTACAGGAATGCAATGGCTTTAGACGATACAGTTCGTCGAAGAGGGCCATCAATTCCGTGTAATAGACATCAACAGGGGTGGATTTTCCCTGCTTACACCCGGTGATCGAGGCTCGCAATTGTTGAAGCCGAGGTCCATTGGCGACGTTGTACCTCTTCTCCAAATAAACCCACAAGGTCCGGGGCTCTTCGTGGATGGGTATGGAAACCGCCACAGTTGGCTCCATACTCCTTAGAATCCACGAGACCACCATAGAATTGTTGGTCTCCCAATCAAGTTTTCTTGCCGCCTCAGTCGGTTCTTTAAGCAAGCCATCAATGAAGCAATGTTTCCTGCGAGCCTTCAACGAGAGGGCAAACACGCGAGACCCCGAGACATAATTGTCTCCTTTGAAGATGACGTGAGTGATCAGATTTCCGGGCTGATCACCCGCGCCCAAATAGTATGGCGATGTCGGATCTCCCATCTCCGTTCAGTCCAAGCACGCTGGTGTTGTCCTGCGAATTTGAGAAGAAGAGACGAGCTTCTGCGTGAATGTCCCTTACGCAGGCTCTGATACCATGCTGAAAGGCGTGTGTATTGATTAGGGCTAATTGATTCCCTTGATTCTATTAACAAATATATGAGTATTTATACAAGTGTGGTACAAAGTAATGAAGCCCTTGGCCCAAATAATCTATACAGAAAATAATACAGTCCAATAATAACTAACAATTAGGGAATTTTAACTTCCAATCAAATGTGTTCCTTCCATCTTTTAATATTTAATTAAATTTGACTAGCATGAGAAATAATAAAATGAAAAAATATGTAATTAATATTTGCATACGGAAGAGAGAAATAATAAAAATTCAAAAAAGAAAGAACGAACTTAGTTAGAATGAACGGGGAGTATATTGTCACTGATTTTCTAAACTAGTACTCACTATGTGATGTTTGATTTTAAAAAAAGGGATATGGCTCAAATTTGACATATGGTTTCATTAGAATCTTATATTGGATACTAAGGTTTCAAATGGATCAAATTGAACATATGTATTGTTACATATGTATCTCATATTGGACACTAAAGTTTCATAATTCATAGTTTTTGGACACTCACTTATGAATTTATGATTATGTTCTTTCTTTAATAAAAACCGTTAGTCTCATATTTCTTTTCCTTTTTGGTGAAAATAAACTAATTTAATTACCTATACATTTTGGAATATTTAATTTGAAGTTTTAGAATATATAACTTCATTTTAATTAATAACCTTTTTATATTTAACAATTTAACAATATATTTAGGACTTTTTGTTCATATGATGTTAATGGAATTTCAAGCAATATGGATTTGTTAAATTGATTTAAAAATATTAAAGAATTCAAATACTAATAATAAATCTAAATAAATGAATTAAGTTATTTTACTTTTTAAGTACATAAAACAAAGGGGAAAAGGAATTTTATAGTTTTCAAAAGGTGAAAATCTTTGGTGGGTGTCCAAAAATGATCATAAAAACGTTAAATTTGATTTATTTGAAACTTAGTGTCCAATAAGATACAAAAGTAATCATATTATATTCATATAAGTCTAGTGTCTAATTTGTCATTTATCTCTTAAAAAAATGAACCAGTAGCACCATTTAACACAAAATTTTCTTCAAAAAAGAACCCATCAGAAATTGGAACGATACCGCAAGATGATCCGGGTTCTGAGTCAGGAAACTCACCCCCTCATGGCGTCACGGTTCCTTCCCTCCCTCTAGTCGCCATTTCTCAGTTGACGCATTGCATTGTGCGTGCGTATGCGTGTGATTTCACTCGACGTTGACACTGCTAAGTGCTTGAATCCACACCAGTGCGAAGAGAGCGAGTTTCCGGCGGGATTCCAGCCTGGAGTCATCCTCCAATGCCCGTTAGATTTGTCGGTAAAGGTTATATTAAAGGCGCTGAAGCGAGGAGAGGATGAAGAGCGGCGGAGGAGGAGGAGGCAGTCAACCTTTCTCCGTTCCGCCCGGGAAGAGGCGGTGGAATTTTCTGGTGATTGCTGTTCTATGTCTGGTGTTTCTTTCCATGCTTGTGCCTCTCATCTTTTTGCTCGGATTACACAACGGATTCCATTCTTCCGCCGGTACGATTTTTTCTTTCGCGTCTTCTATCCTTCAACTAGATCTGCAAGTTTTTATTAGTAAAATATGATTTATTTTTTAGCTCCATCCAAATCCATTTCCCCCGTAATGTATTTGTGATGATCTGAGGAAAGAGATGCAAGTCATACGACGTCAGTTTCATTTGCTTTAACATTTTCACCATAGCACGATGAAGCGCTTTTTAAACTTTAAAGGATCTTCACTATTGATGGCGAATTCTCGCTATAAAATTCAAAGGATCACATATCCATTTTTCGTAATATAAGAGAGAAAAAAAACTAAAAGGACAATCATATACTTCCAGCTTAGAATTTGTCTATAAAATATTCCTTGACGTACCTGCTGTGTGATTTGCAGGATATGTTCCTGAAAAACATAGTCCATTTACTGTAAGTAGTATTGGCACTTTTTATTGTATTACATTATTATATCCGTCCATTTTTTTCAATTGTCACTAGTTACTCGTACTTGTACTTTCTCATATATCCGGATTCCTTATACCAGAAAATGGTTGATGTTTATGGTCAACAAGAAGCTAATGTACCTAGAAACCAATCAGAGGTAAGTACATTTTGCAATGCATTCATAACAAGTTTATTTTTATTAAAAGATGATATTGTAAATAACTAAATACATAGAATTGCACATCTTCTTATCTGTCTCATCAAAACTTGATCATTCCCACGAAAGGACTCCAATGCTTTTTATTTAATGGTCTTGTTTCATATTGTTGCAGGGAAAGCAATCTAGTCATATAGATGATGTTATAAGAAGATTGGAACCTACTTTTCCTAAGGTTTATTGCTCACTACATTTGTGCTTAATCTTTTGTTTCCTAAAACTATCTGTAGCTGATTTGTGCCGTAGTTCATTTGCTTATCTATAATCTTCATGCTGATAAAGTAGTAGTTTCCCCGGTTGGAAACTTATGGATTAAAACCATGGATGTTGAAAGTTTTTATTACAAAATTTACTTCTTAGAGTAAGATTAGGCATTATAACAAAGAGAGCGATAAAATAAAATAAGAGCAAACAATCAGAAAAGTGAATAGTGGCTCAATCCCCAAAAGTAAATTGTTTAAAACCTGCTTGTTAGCCAAAAGTAGACAGGTGAGAAGTATAATTGTAATTTGTGGTGTCAGGCCAAGCACTAAAGGGTGTACCAGCTGCTGGTAAAGAGAGGAAAGTCAGCAAACAAATTAGAGAGTGGGAGTAGAGAAAAACAAATTTTGATTGAGAAAGATCTATCGCTGCTTGTTTAGAAACAAGACTTTCCTCGTATAGGAATAAGGTTTTTTCTAGCGCGGGCCACTGTGCCCATGGGCACTTGATAATAATTAATTAATGAGTAATTTAATACTTCAAGACTTCTGATTTTCTTAACATTTCTTTGATGAATGTGACAATGGTCTTAGTGATAGTTGTATTGCTTCTTTAATTTGATTTAATTTTTTCATTGATATTTTATATATTTATAAAACATGAAAATGAAACACATTAGTTGTTCCTTATCATGTGCTCATATAGGAAAACCATTGGAATAGGAAAACCATGGGAATTATACCATATTGTGTTCCTTTGTTGGTTATTGTATAATGTATATAGAATAGTTATATGTTTACATCTAGTAAAAAATCTATTGTTATACCTAATGCTCACCTAGAGAGCCCTTGCTTCAACATCCGTTTACACCATCCCAGAGAGCCCTTGCAAGGAGCGCCATGTTGATCTATCAGGATATTTTGACTAATGATGAACTTCTCTCTGATTCATTTCCTTACAAGGAAATTGAGGAAGGACTGCTATGGGAAGTTGAGGGAAAGTGGGTTGTTCAAGGAGCTGTTGAGGTAGATATTGGAGCAAATCCATCTGCAGAAGGTGGCGAAGAGGATGAGGGTGTGAATGACACTGCCACTAAGGTTGTTGACATCGTTGATACATTTAGACTCCAGGAACAAGCCACCTATGATAAGAAGAACTTTGTTGTATATATGAAGAAATACATTAAAGCAATATCGGGTAAGTTGACTGGAACTGAACTAGAGGAGTTCAAAAAGAAAATTGAGCCAGCAACCAAGTACCTGCTTGGAAAGCTTAAGGATTTGCAATTTTTTTCCGGCGAGAGCGGTACAGATGATGGCAGTCTTGTGTTCGCTTACTACAAGGAGGGTGCCACTGACCCTACATTCCTCTACCTTCCCTATGGTCTGAAGGAGGTTAAGTGCTAAGTGGTTGATTTTACCTGTGGTGTGTTCAACGAGAACTATATATATTCTATGTGTTTTCTTGTAGTGCTAGCTCCTAATATTTGTATTTTTGTGTTTGTGTGATGGGATTCTCAAAGTATCTGTTATGTATTTGTATCTTTCATTTTTGAACATTTTTGAAGAATGATGATTGCTTTTTGTTTCTAAAAAAAAAAAAAAAAAAAAAAAAAAAAAAACCTAATGCTCACCTAGTGTTTGACCTCATTAAGATTTTGATCACTCATCATTTGGCCATTCTGTTAACGAAAGTGGAGCCGACACCAGAACTAAACTTTAGCTTTTAGGCATAATATTTGTTTCCCGCACATATCTTTCGCTTGTAACATGACACATATTTCCAGGATTTTCAGAAGAGCATTGTTAAGGAAGCTGAGAACAAGACAACTATTGGTAGGGTGAATGACTGTAATCTTCTTTCGGCCTGTGTTGTTGTTGTTCTATGTATCTTTGCATATAACAATTTGTTATAATTTCTTCTATGCGGCTTCTCTGGTCTCCTGTTTCCTTGCATAGCAATATGGATTGGACTATTCCTATTCTCCTTTCCCCTTTTCCCTTCTTTTTGTTTACTTTGTTTTTGTATTATTTGCAAACTGTTTTTTTATTCACAGGTCCTCCATTGTCAGTTGATATGCCTAAAGAACAGCCAAAAGGAGGTGTATGTATTTCTTGAATAGCTGTTAGCTTCTTTTTCTAACTAAATATGAATTTTTGGAATTGAACATTTTTTCTTGGTAAATTATGATCTCTTGTTTTCACGCAGAGCAACAAGTCCAGTGATGTCAAACCGAAGAATACTGAGGAGGGTATAAAGCTTTGTGAATTAAAATATGGAAGCTACTGCTTGTGGCGTCAAAAGAATAAGGAAAAAGTTAATGATTTCATCGTGAGAAAAATGAAGGACTTGCTATATGTGGCTCGAGCGTATTATCCCAGCATTGCAAAGCTTCCCGCTCAGGACAAGTTCTCACTTGAAATGAAGCAAAACATTCAGGACTTTGAGCGTGTTCTTAGCGAGACAACTGTTGATAAGGATCTTCCCTCCATGTATGTTTTCATTTCTGTTCTTCTCTATTATAAATCAGAACTTGTTCCATATGTGTGTCTCACAATGAATCATTACATTCAGAACTTTGAGTGTCTTTAGTTCAACTGCTGTTAGTAATGATGGAGATTATGCTGTAGCACTCTATTTACTTTTGAGGATGAAGATGTTCTCGTTGTATTTTCATTAAATTTCTCAAACTTATGTGCTTATATCAAACTTAGTGCTTAATGTTCGCTAGGTTTAGCATATCTGGTTTGGAGGGGGGTAGGTTCATTTTGGTACACGATCGGTACTAAAATGAATTACATAACAATATCTCAAACTTATGTTTTGGTACTATGATAATTCAGAATTACAGATTTAATAACACTAAACAAAAACAGATTTCATAACATGATTTCATAACAATGAACGGAATCAGAAACATTAATATTCCAGAAACATTTGACTCAAAACTGAAAAACACAACCAGAAACATAATTAAAACAGAAAAATTCTCCATAAGTCCAAACTCTAAAGTTCCAAACCCCAAAGCAGAAAAAGTACATCACTCAATCTAACCGAGTTCTTTTTCCATTCCCGTTCTCCATGTCTTCATCATCTAGATTCTTCCAAACCATGTCTTATAGTCGTGAACTTGGGAAATACTTAATTCCAGATAAAATTTAATACTACTAGAGAGTAGAAGACATATGCAATTGAACATTTTCCACTCAATTTATAGGAGTTGGAATGTACAATTGATGAGTTGGATCAGAAAACGAAGAGGCTGATTCGAAATCCGCACGCCTGTAGAAACGTTCAAAAACAAAGACAATGTTAGAAACTTTTGAAATCCGTGCGCTGAAAGGAAACAAGTCATGGTTCCAAACGGGTTCGCTGGGAAAATCGCTTGGGGATCGAACTGAAAATCGATTTCGATCGAAATGAAAAACGATTGAGATCGAATCTAAAATCGGTTGGGATTGAGTAGACAAGCATATGTTATAGCGATCCAGTTAAAGAATGGATCGCTTTCGGACCACGATTGTGTACGGAACGATTGGTTCGCAGATCGTGGCCAGTTTAGCAATCTATGTGACTATGGCTTATATATCTGATAATCACGATACTGCATACTATGCTGTAGCCTTCATTTTACGTTTGAGAAGGATGTTGGTGTATATTATGTGTTGGTTTTGTTGGTTAGATGAAAGCCAGGATGAAACCATACATTTGGCTCATAAGGTTTATGGTCTCTGAAATCCTTTCTTGGGGCTTGCCTGACTAAGTAGTGTTGACTTTCTCAACTTCTTCTCTATCCTTTTATCCCTTTATTTTCTTTGTGTGAAGAGGAGGGAGGGACCTTGTGTCTTTTGATCAGTAGTTTAGATCAATTTACAAATTGACTATGGTTTTATTAAATTTAAGTTTAGCAAATTCAGGTCCATTCCATGACATTTCCACTTAGTAGATAAATAGGAAGCAGCAGCAGCTGAAAACAGTATAGTTTTTCTTGAAGAAGAATATCTGATTTAGTTGGGACCTTTCAATATCTTTTGTTCTTTCAGGGGTTAAAAATTTGCGCATGTCCTACCTGGCTGTGTTGTTTTTTACTCGATTTCATATTTTGGCCTATGAACATCAAACATAGCATTTGTGTATAGACACTCAGACAGTATAGTTGCATTCACTCAGAGTGGATGGAAAACAGGAATAAATCTGTTGCTACTGTAAAAGATTTCCCACAAGTCTGCTCGAAAGGAACTTCTTTTTTCATGATTAGTTAACACTCAATTACTTAGAGTTGGATCATTCTTTTAATGTTGGGTAAATGTCATTTCCTCAGGTCCTATTTCTAAGGCATATTAGGGTGGTCTTAAATATAAACATAATCACTTAGAGATAGTTCTTGTAATATTGGGTAAATATTATTTCCACAAGTCTTATTTATAAGGCATATTAGAGTGGTCTTAATTTCCATCATTTCCAATGGATCCAAACACTCGCTATTTTTTGTCTTGGAAATACGATGGAATAAAGCAAAATGACTCACTAAACTGCATGCACTTTTTTGTTATGAAGCAACAGTTAGTCCATCAATTTTCGACGTGTTTTTCACCATGAGTCATCTGGAAGCAGTCTCTCCATGCTTTAGTACATGGGTAAGGCTTGTACATCCGACCTCCCTTGCCCCACCGTAGGTGGGAGCCTTTGCGGCACTGGGGAAATGATGATGACGATGATTAGGGTGGTCTTAATGACATTTAGCTTTGTATATTAATGTCCCATTTAAGTTTTTCCTTCCACAATTTCCCCTCTTCAAAAGGCCAAGACAAATTCTTCACAGAACTGACAGATGTGTTTTAGGCTTACTAGAAAAAGGAAAAATTATATTAAATGCTTCTGATTATATCCTTGGACTATGTGAAAGTCAAAATCGTGCCTTCTAATAAGGACGAAGGGATTAATAGTTTTTCACATTTTTTTCTTCAAGTAACATGTGACTTAGTTTGCTTTTGTGTTGTACAGGATCGGAAGCAGGCTAGGTAAGATGGAAGCGGTAATTGCAAAAGCAAAAGGTTTCTCTGTGGAATGTAGTAACGTTGACAAGAAATTTAGACAACTAGTTGATCTAACAGAGGATGAAGCTAATTTCCATGCAAAACAGAGTGCTTTCCTTTACCAACTGGCAGTCCAAACAATGCCAAAAAGTTTCCATTGCCTGTCAATGCGACTTACTGTGGACTATTTTAGATCTTCTCCGATTGATGAGGAACAGTTGGTGGCTGAGAGATACCTGAATCCAGATTTGCATCATTATGTTATATTCTCCAAGAATGTACTCGCTTCGTCTGCAGTCGTAAACTCTACAGTTTTGCATGCTAAAGTATGCTTTTGTTCTCATCATTTTCTGGCACTCCATTATCTATTTTATGCTACTGACAAATTTTCAGCTGTTTCCTTTGTATATATGTCCAGGAAAGTGAGACTCAAGTATTTCATGTGTTGACCGACAGGGAGAATTACTTTTCCATGAAATTGTGGTTTTTTCAAAACAAATATAAGGAAGCAACCGTCCAAGTCTTAAACATTGAGGACCTTAATTTGGACAAAGATGATAATAAGGTGGTATTTCCAACACAATTCTTGCTGCCTGAGGAATACCGTATTTTCATCCATAAGGTTGATGAACCATCCATGACCCAAATGAGGACAGAGTATTTATCCGTGTTTTCACATTCCCACTATCTCCTTCCAAAGATTTTTTATTCATTGAAGAAAGTAGTGGTTTTGGATGATGACATAATTGTCCAAAGAGACTTGACAGACTTGTGGGGCATCAATTTGGATGGGAAAGTGAATGGTGCTGTACAGTTTTGCTCGATCAAACTGGTCGAGTTGCAGAATTTTTTGGTTGACAAGATTTTGGATGAAAAATCTTGTGCTTGGGTATCAGGATTAAATATCATTGATCTAGTTAGATGGAGGGAACAAGACCTTTCTGGGAAGTTCCAACGACATTTGCAAGAGGTCAGTTTCCATATGTTCCTGCAATTAAACCCATCACATATATGCTATCTATCACCAATGCACTCTTAAAACAGTGACCCTTGTCCCTTTTCTACAATGGAATGAAACATAAAAAAAACTCAGTTTTATCAGTTGCTAACTCAGAATTTCATCTAAAAAATAATGGCATAATAATGATTTTAGGTACTTTGAATACTTCCGGGGAATGTAGCCATGTAGTACTTCTTGAGGGAATAAACAGCACAAACTTTTTGTCCAGTTGAAGAGAATAATTGAAACAGTTTATTTACTAATAAAAAATGATATTTTGTCATACAAAGTTTCCTAATGTTTGACCACTCATCTGTTATTCTGTTTACTTACATTTTACTTTTCCTAGGTTCAATTAGCATTTGTTTGGTTCTGGGTAGAAACAGAGAGAGAAGTGGATGAATAAGAGATGGATGAGAAAAAATAGAGTAGATTATGTGTTGTGTTGTAGGGGAGCGATATGGAAAATAAATCAGTAGAATTTGGGACTTTGGGTAACCCATCCGTTTCTCTTATCACCGGACAAGGAAATTCTTTCTCTCCTATATTTGGTTACCCTCTATTTCCTTCTCTGATATTTCTCCTTTCCCAAACAAAAGCTAACTTTCATATACAGTCCGGTTTTTAATCAAACTCTTAAACGTTCATTACAAAACACTTTAATTTTCCCCCTTTTGAATAAAAATGCTGATCCCATTTTCAGCAACCAAGTAGAAAAGAGGGGATGACCTTGCGTGCCTCGTTCCTTACCTTTCAAGATGAGATATACGGCCTTGATGAGAAGTGGGTTTTGTCGGGGTTGGGGCATGAATATGGTCTGCAAACAGAGGCTATAAAGAATGCAGGAGTTTTGCATTTCAACGGGAACATGAAACCTTGGCTTGATCTGGGCATCCGTGATTATAAAGATTTATGGAGCAAATATATGAACAAGGAAAACCAATTGCTAAGAGATTGCAATGTGAATTGAGTAGTGTCATTAGTAGACCACACATTCTCTTCTGCTTGTGAAGGAAGAGTGAGTGTATGGTAACAAAGACCACACACAAGTTTCTGCTCCCAAGCTCAAGGTAAAACTTACAGGCAAATATATTTTAGTCGCCCTGATGAGTTTGGTGTTTCAATTGTTTGGTTAATAAAGGAAAGACGGGTTTTTTGTATCAAGACCTCTTGGTAAGGCCCGTGACGAGTAGAAGCTTCTTTCTTTGATGAACGGTTATTATAGCAAAGAAGCGCCTTAACGGGAACGACCATATCTCTGGATGGCACACAATAGTTGAACAGAAATGTTTTGTTTGATGTCTGGGGAATCATATTTTCATGTTATTTCATAGGGAGTGATATATCATCAGGGCTAAAAGTCCAATTTTAATTTCAATAGAGCAGAATTTGCATAGTTTAACTCCGCATATTTGGTGTCCCATTACCCCTTTTCTGTGAGGGTACAAATTATTGTATACTCATAGTTATTCTTTTTGTATTCCTTGTAGTGTTTTTAAAGTAGGTTTTGAGAAGTTGAAGTTTCATTTTCATTCTACCTACCACAGTTACGAACCGATTTTTAAGCAGCTGTGTATATGTATTGTTACCTTATTCTTTGTGTAGTGTTGATATGTGCAGACGTGCAGTCATAGGCCCCGAATTCCAGCAGAATGCTCTTTAAATGAATATTTGTAATTTATTAATGAAGTAATGTCCTTACGAATTTACGATAAAAAAAAATGAAGTAATGTCGTTCGTTTTTTTTTTCCTTTAGAAAAAGGGTCAAATAAGCTCTTCAGTTATACTGAATCAGTCATTTAGACTCATGTACTAAAAAACAATCATATAGGGGTGTTTGGAACTGATTCTGCTTCTGCTTCTTTTTTAAAAGCAGAAGCAGAATCAGAATCAGTTTTCAGAAACTGATACCCCCCAGCTTCTAAAAAAACTGATTCTGAGAGTAAATTAGAGCTCCAGAAGTGCTTCTGGAATTTCATCCAAACACTCCAACTTCTGTTTCTGCTCCCTGAAGGAGCAGAATCAGTTTTGAGAATCAGATCCAAACACCCCCTAAATCCCCTTACTCTTAAAAACAGTCAATTAACTCAAAGTACCGAAGTTAACCTTCTGTGGCGAGTTAAAAGTAAATCTTTTTCTTTCTCATTTACTTTTCACTTTTTTTCCTTGGACATTCCTTAGTTCCCCAACCTCCACCTACGTCGTCAATTTCTCTAACTCAGTATTTCTCTGTTTCTTGCCTTTTCATTTTTTGTTTGTTTTATTTTCTCATCTTTTATTCTATGTTATCATGTTTCCTTTTTTATTTTAATTCATTCTTTTCTTTTATAGATTGTACAAATCAATTTGCCCGATCAATGAATAGAGAGAGACGAACATCCTCAGGGAGCGACCTCCCCTTCCTCATCCGCTGCCATTCAATTACCGGAAACTGCTCTCGTCGCCGGAATATTCAATTCAAAGTGCAGCCACAAAGAAAAATATGGGTGTACAATCACTCAATCAGTCTTACTTCTCCATCTCTGTCAACCCATCCACCACAACCTAGACAAAGAAGCATCAATGGAATCCCCATCTCCGGCCGTTCTTACGTGGATGCACTCCACAGGATTGTTATCGTTGGTCGCAACCCAGTGTCGCTCAGAGTCAGCCTAGGAAAAGTAGGCAGCAAATCGTCAATGCCTCCCTTTCCCCTGAATTTGAAGTAGCAACAGTGAAGGAGATATATGAAAAAGGGTTTTTTTTGCACAAATTTGATGAGAATGGTATAAGATGAGAGAGCAGGCTGGAGTTGGAAATGGGAGGAGATAACATGGAAAGAATGAAGAATGATAGAAAAGAAAAGGAAAAAGGTCAAACTTGTTTTAACCGGCAGAGTAGGTTACTTTCCGGTAAATTTGGATGGATTGATTCTTTTATAAAGTAAAAGGGTTGAAGTGATGTTTTTTTAGTAGATGGGTCTAAGTGATTGATTCAATATAGTTAAAGGGCTTTTTTGACCCTTTTTTCTTTTTCTTTTATTCAAGTTTTACTCCATAGAAAATTGATCTGACCAGATACGAGATATATCATATGACAGCCTTGTTTGATACCTTGGTACAGAAAAAAATAATGATTCTAAAAAGTTTACCTCAATCTGAATAAAATGATTACAATTTACAAAAAAATACAAGTGACCCCACAGGCAACACAGAAATGGATGTGAGTGGTTTTACAAGTATGAAGTTTCACTATGCAACTTTGTCACAACAAAAGTATTAGTAACACCCTTCACACAATCTAGAGATGCTTTCAGCCTTCTACTCGACTACTCCTTGCGATGGATCGGGCACAGCCAGCTGCTCCGCAACTGGAGGAATACAGTCCACCTTGTAACGCAGGACCTATTCCCCATGCAAACAACATAAACTTAAATTAATATGAACACATCACGTTCATGTATGTGATGCATTGTTGGAATTATGCATTATTTTAGATATCCCCACACCTATTAATTCTTGCTTAAGTACTCGGGTGTCTGGCCACTTTTGTGTGTTTTCTGATTTAGATGCTGCATAACCCGGATTATCTATAACTCTGATCAGATAATTTGAGTTTCTACCCCATTAAGAATTGTCATTCCAGAGGTTTTTGAGTTTTTCCAGAAATATATTCAAGGCCAAAAATATAATCAAATGCTCAATTGCAAAAGCATAGCCACTTCAGTTCACATATAGTCACTGTGCAATCAAGGGTCAGATTTTTATCCATTTTTTGTAATTTAATTATAGTTTTACTTCTTATTTTATTACCAACCGATGGCCCCTGAAGCACCAAAAGTGTGGTGCAAACTGAAAATGCTGATACTTGATCTCAATTTGGAGTGCAAAGTTTAAGAGAAATTAGTTCACTTTTGGGGTTCAAATCGAAGGACGAATGGGGAGCAAAGTCCAACTTTAAAACAAACATGGGGTGCAAACTCAAATTTTCTCATCTTTTATTAGTAACAAAGTAGGAAACATATTTTTATAAAACAATGAAAGCATGCAAAAGTTCCAATAATTTCCAAACTTATGTTCTTGTTATTACTTCTGTTCTCTGAAGAGGTGAAAACGGAAACAGAAAACAAAAATGTTACCAACTGCCACCTTTACAAGAGTACAAGTTCCTATTGCCGGGGAAGGGGATGCAGTATTTCAAGTACCTTACTGAAGAACGAAGAGTATGAATTGTCCCATATGAGCTTGTAATTTCCAGGCATGCATGTGCAGAAGTTACCCTGTAATAAGGAGTTGTGAGAACGCTGAACTTATGACAAAAAACTGAAAATGTATTTTCATGCCAAACTTACTTGGTCAGATTCATAGCGTCTGTAAGGTAAAATTGGCTGTATAACAAGGACAAAGAATGTAAAAAATGAGGCAGAGATTGCCTTTTCAGGAAACTATTCTGATTATAAAACAAGAAAAATATAGTAGTTGTATATACCCTTTTCTGTCCTGAAATATCTTCACACTCCATGCTAAAACCAATATCCTATCGGCAAAACGATGAAAGCATATATAAATAATAAATTAAGAACACTGTTGTGGCATTGTGATAGTTGCATTACACTGTTAGTATAGCATAGCATCCATACATCCATGTCTTCAACCATCAAAAATTAAAAGTTTATCAAATTATGGTGAAAAAGGAAAGAAAATAAATGTAAATTTGTTATTTTGGTACCAAATTCATTCTTCCTTGAACCAAAGAGAAATCCCAAGCAATATATGAATTTATATCTTCAACCTTTAACGAAACCTGAGAAATTTAATCCAATTACATAGGCTGTTAATCGGCTTCAATACGCAGATAAAGTAAAAGGTAGTAACTAGTTATCCAGCACAATGAAAACATTACTACAATTCATGGGATACTAAGGGTTGGTTTGCAAACGCTTTAAAAAAAGCACTTCTCAGATTTTTGCTTTAAAAAAGCATTTACTTTACCAAACACTACCACTTCTATTTTTCTAGGCTTTCGTGTCAAAAGTGCTTTTACTTTTTCTATTACACAAAAAGCACTTATTTTACCAAACACTACCAACTTTTACTTTTCAAAATTACTTTTTTCTCAAACACTATCAACTTTTATTTAATCACTTTTCCTCATTACATTAAAAAAGGCACTTTTTTAAAGCAGAAGTTGTTGCAAACATACCCTAATTTTTTTAAAACAAAAGAATAATAAAAATGAAACTAACCTCATGAGTTTTTCCTGCTGGGACACTTGTTTCCTGGTACTCCTCGTCTTTACTGTAACCAACAGTTAATTTTAATAAGCAAGCACGACAAATTCCTATTTTTAACATTGATTCCAATGCTTAACACCTTTACAGTTCAGAGAATAACTTAAAAGGAAATGCAAACACACCTGGCTTCTGATGCGCCAGAATCCTCGGCAGTAATAAAAAATGGAGAGTTTGTAAACACCACACTGAAAAAAATATGGAAAAATTTAATGAACATAAATGGAAAGAGATACAGGCTAAAGACTAAGAATCAAATTGACGGTTATGTACCAATTTGTCAAAGTAGATAAATGACTTAAGAGTATGTCACACCGAGCTCTAAAATGGTGGAAAGATACAAAAACAACAACATCCAAGCCTTATTCCCAAAAGATTTAAAATGGTGGAAAGATGAGAGAAGAAAAAACCAGAACGAGTTTACTAATTAGTAATTTCTCCAGGTTTCTGAAAAATGGGAAGCAAGTTTGCTTTCCCTGTTTTTTGAATTCCGAAAATGGAAAACTTTCTACTGTTTACATCGTTTCTTCAAAATTTGGAAACCTTTTTTTAGTTTACCAAATAGGAAACAGGAAAAAATGCAGTCAACACATCACCGGTCACTAACTTGAAAACATATTTTTTAATGAATATGTTTATGTAGGTGATGGACAAAGCTGAGGTAGTAGGTGACAAAGTGATAATTATGCGTTTGTATTAACGTCTTCAATTCTGAAGTGGAAAGTGCATTAAAAAATGGCGATCTATAGACATGCCTGAAGAACAATAAGCAAAGTAAATGGCAAGGGATACATAAACTTTTAAACCCATTAATAGACAAAATTCCAAAAAAATACCCGATAAACTTGATGAATCTTTCAAATTCAGATGTATAGACATCCACGGCTTTCTCAAAAATATATATTTTATTCAAGTGCCTGCTCAAAGAATAAGAATAATATATATTAGGGCGCCGCCACAAATTCACAATCATGTTATAAGGGAATTAAATGCATAATAACTGTAACAGTTTAACACTACTATAGAACAAAACCATAGAACTTAAAGTCTTAATAAATCTCACGGGTTTCCTGCTTCAAAGTGCTTCCACAGAAGAGATAGAAAGAGTCGAATATTAAGCACCATTTTGGTAAGGCTGTACAGAGGAGGACCATAACGACTTCGCTGTTCTTCCATGGGCCTATTATTAAAAAATCAAAATACACACAGAAGAAATGCTACTAGGTCTGCTGAACACTTGCATATGGCCAAAGCAATATAAACAGATCTTCACGAAATGTGTAGGTCAAAGGTAACTAAAATTTAATGAAAATATTACCCTTCATCATCATTTATCCGCCGAACGAAATCCAATAACACCTGCACCAAGATACCATATTATAAAGTATATACCTAAAACTTAAGGTTGTAGAGAACAGATCATACAGAATAAACAGCATTAGTAGGAGTAAATGCAAAGCATGGAGACCTTAACACAGGAAATAACAAAACATATGTCAGATTATACTCTTCGTGTTGCTTTCATAACACAATGAATTGCAATAAGCAAAACTATTGCATGAAAAACAGCATGCTGTGTACGAGGAAATCAAGATGAATAAGTTCAATAGGAAATATAAATCAAGAATTAGGCTCTATCCAGTAAATTTAACCTACTTGTGGCACTCCTACTAAGTACTTCACCAGAGTCTTATAAACACCTGTTGCCGAACCAAGCTGAGCTAATTGTGTCCGTCTAGAAGAAAATAATTGCATGAGTAGTCAGACCAAAGTCCCAAACCATATGGGCTGTAAAAAATGGCAATTAAATGAAGCAATATTTACCTTTCCATCTGTTGCTTCCACAACAATGCATACCGTTCCTGAATACTTCCACCAGAGTTAACTATAGCATCAACTGCAGCTTTTTTATTTCTCTCAGAGCGCTCTTTCTGTTGTCTAATTAGTGTACCTCGGAAGTCTTGAGGCAGGTAAGTCATGACTGCAGATTTAACCAGTGTAAGTGCCAAACTAACCTCGAATGTACGTAAGCTGCTTTTAGGTGCCTCCTATACTCACTTGCATGAATAACTTGATTGGAAGTTTTATTTATTCTTAGGACAGAATTGCTATTTTAGAAGGATGATATTACTGACTGGTCTGTGTTCAGGAGGGCTAACCAGGAAAGTTTTCAGCGATTAAGGGCTTAAAGGCCATGCTATTAGGCCTCAACTGAAGAAACATACCATTTGATTTACAAAGTATGCATTACATGATATGTATGTCTACGCACGTAAGTCTACGTAATATCTTTCTTAGCACAAAATATCTTAAATACTTGATTTTAAACACATCTTGGCATACATCATCATCATCATCATCATTTACCCCAGTGCCGCAAAGGCTCCCACATCTTGGCATACAACTAATAATAAATATAATTGATAAGCTGTTTGGACACTTAAACTGATTCCTAACAAAAACGATACACGCCATCTACATGTACCATGATATACACACCCCGCCATACACAATCCAAAACAAAGAAAAAAATTACATCAAAGATCAAATGACTAACCTGTGTTGAATACATGTTCAGAATTCTTAGCTTGGAAAGTTTCCAATAGCTTCAGAGTATTTTCAAGTTTTCCTTTTAATCGTGAGAGGACATATCCAAGTTCAGTTTGTTGAGCCGTTGACTGTTGCTGAAGCTGAAAAACCGAGGTAAAAGAATTACATGGTTGTCACTATAGCTTCCTGGAAAAGATAGTGCTCGGAACTTAACTCTATATTAATAAGAAGTGTCACTTATTCAATGAAGCATGAACAAGAGACGTGGTTAATTGAACTGAAAATAAAATCTAAAAGCTGTATTTCTCAGACCATTGTAGGCCAATTGGATCTTTCCAGCAACAAAATAATTTCTTCAATATGTTCTCGATTTTTCCACATGTTCTCATCAATTTTGTGAGGTGGGATACTATCTGCTTCTCGCACCAATAAGCTTTCTCCTACCAAAACATCACCAACAAATGATGAGTTGACATACATTCATAAATGCAACACAAAATCAGACATGAAATATTATGAAATTTGATGTTTCCATTAAACCAAGGGTATCTGAAGAGATTACATATTTACATATAACAATCAGCCACGAGCAAAGGAGGGGGATGGTTCGCTCCTCATCTAATTTGTATCCAGGCTTGTATAATTTTCGTTTACTATTGATCCTTCAACAAGATAAGCATAATATGAAAACTAAAAGAGCCACCCCATGAAGAAGCATAATGCATAAACTAGAAGAGAAAATCAATGAATCAGTTAGACATGCAGTTTGTGGAAGTATTAGAAACAAACTTTTACTTTTATGGGGGATTCATTTAATTTATTTATATGAGGTGAAGAATTGAAGAGGACAACTGATTGAGTTCCAAGGTGAAGCTGGGCACTGCACATGCACAAAATTTCAAATTTCCAATAAATGCACATGGAGGCCGACGTATGTGATCTTTAGGTTGAAGTGTTGAACCCAGTTTGACAGTGACAGTTAACCAACTATGAAGCATATTAATTGGGATGTCAGAATTCCTCAGAGATGTATACATCTATATCAAGATCTGAGTTGTACCAGGATACTAATACCAGGCTCATCACAAAAAAAAGAAATCACCGTAATAGGAGTAAAAGATGGACCAAGTCCATAAATAGGAATGCTTATATTTTTATTCCTAAATAAGTACTTATTTTAGTCCTAACAAAAGAAGGCAGATAAAACTTCTTTTAGGAGCAAGCGGGTCCTATACTCCTATTGGGGGGGGGATAAGGGTGGTCATATAACATATTTGAGAATATGTGTATTCTTTTGGTCTTGTTAAGGGAGTTTTCTCAAAAAGAAATCCAACAATGGTAACTACATGCAGAAAGTTTTCATAGGTGAACCTCATTGCACCATGACCAGTCAGAAATAAGTGAGCATGTAATGAGGATCCAAAATACATCATCTCTCACTCATAATCGTAAAATGAAGATTTGAGTGTTGTGTAAGAGGAAATGAGCAATCCATCCTTTGGGAAATATTTCACCAATCAGATTTACAATACACGAACTCATAATTAACATGATAACATATGTTTCAATCCCATATTCCCATGTCCCCATAACTGGTAGTTATGCCATAAAGCATTCTACTATATCACGAACACGATTAAGGATGGCTAATGGCTAGTCCAACTGGCAAAGTAAAAATAAAACTAAGTTCTAGAAACACTAGATTATCTTTATCACTACTCATAATAAACTGTGTTGTGTTTATCTGCACTATAGAATTGAACATAGTACCACAACAAGTCGCAGGAAGACTTAACAGCCACAATTACAACAGTTATATTCAAAAAATTGTAGAAAGAACAGTTTAAGGAAAATTGCAGAAAATCAATGAAATTAGTATACATACCTTCGCTCAAGGGAGGATCATGTTGCAGATCACGCGCTATTGACCGGATTTCATCGCACAGAAGAGATACATCGTCGGAGAGAGGTGAAAATGGATATTTGTCATAATAAGAAGCCAAAAAAGTCCTGGTTATGGGCACAAGTCCATCAACTGCCGTCATAATCTTGGTGCTGTAAATTTTCCGTAAACAGTCGCCGGCGCTACCCTGAACTTTGTCCGGCAGTGGATTTGAGGAGAGATTAATTTAAAATGAGAAATGTTGGTGAAGAAAGAGAAGGGACCGGAAACAGAGATGAATAAAGCAAATGAGAATCTTGTGAGGGTTTATTCTTCGAAAAATTGTTATGCACACTTTGTCATTGGTCGGTTTTTGGCTATACCTAACAAAGTTTTGAAAATTTACAATGAGGTCAATCTATTAATACTAGATTGATTTCGGGGTAATCAAATTTCTAGTTGATCAAACTTAATCACCTTAAAATTATTTAATTGAACAACGTTAATCAATAATAAGTTTTTACGTTTCTCGCGCCGTAGAGTACAATCATTTAGGAAATCAGGCTGATCTCTCATTCGACATGTTTCTAAATTATTGTCAAAACGAGCGAGTATACGACTCTATAACCGTTACTAATCTCTTAGCGTACAATTAGCTTTGTGTGAAAGTATCCTAGAATAAATTAGATATCTTTTAATTTATTTTATATGCAATTATAATCCTTGCGGCATTTTCAGGTTACAAAAGATATCAATTAAATTATTCAAATACAAATTAAATAAAGATCATGCAATTAATCCCTCAAGAGATTAATAAGGATGTTTTTACTTGGATTGTAATATGTCCCAGACCAGACCAGACCAGACTTGGATAGTTATATAAATACAAAGAGACCAGCAAATTACAGTCCAAGTAAAAACATCCTAACCCTAGATCATGATTAACCCCTTCATCAATCTCAAATCCCAAATTAAAATTACTCACAATTCATAATTAAATTAACAACAGAATTGAAAAGAAAATAAATTATTGTCATTAATTAAAAAGATGGAACTTACAAATAATCTTAGGATCTTGAATAACAAAGCGGAAAAGTACTCAAAATTTCGTCCTAGGCCTCTCTCTAAGCTCCGTAACCAAAAACAGGGATTCATAGGCTGTTTAAATAGAAAAGGGAGCAATTCTTGCCTAAAAAGGACATCGGGAACGCACGAAAAGGTGAAAAAGTGTCGGGCACGGCGTGCCTCCCTCGCAGGCACGGCGTGCCTGACCTCCAATGGCTCATGCGTGATTTCTTCTTCCGCACACGGCGTGCTTACTTTGTTAAGAAATGAAACATGGGCTCCGGCCAATACGAAAACATACTCAATTAGATGTATTTTTTCCATACTTTCCTCTTTGTTTTTCTTTTAATGCCATTACATATCAGAATTTTATTCCTTTTTATTTATTCTCTAGTATAGAGCATGATTTGTCATTTTAAAAAATGATTTGTTCTATATTTTTTGTTGTTGGTTGTTTCAAACAAGTTGAAGAAGGTTTTAAGTTTTCATTTTGTGTGTATATGTAATAAGCATATGGATCTTACCTAATTTTTCCACATGTTAAAGAATTTAGATATATGTATAAAACAAAATCAATTTTAATATATTTTATAAGAATGTGCTAATTTGCTACACTCACCGTTTTTTTGCTTTATTATATATATTACAATTATTGTTTCTAGGTATAAAATTATTTCCTAGACACAAACAAAAAAAAAATTTGTTGTACGTATATTTGCTAAGGTAAGTCTTTATTAATACAAACAAGTATTGTCTCAGCAAGCACAATCATTACCTTGACTCCTCAATAATAAAAATCTCCACATGTATCACAGTTAATAAACATCTACTAAATTGATGAGTAGTTTGAAAGTATTTTTGTATACATTGTTTGACACAAATTCCATCTATTCATATTTATATGCATATCATGTATTGATGTTATATTCATATGTATATTCGCATTTTCATTGGTGTTTATGTTTGAGTTCATATCTATGCTCATATCTATTCATATTCATATATATTTACATTTGTGTTCACATTTGATTACATATATGCTTATATACCCATAAAAAGATCTACTCTGTATTATATAGGTATATGCTTATATACATATATAAAGATATATTTTCAACTTTTGTGCTTATTTGCACACATATCATTTATCATTGACCCCATATTAAATATTATTTTTAGGTTTTTTGTCTAAAAAAGTTCCATGGGGTAGTTTTGTATAAATGTTCAACTTTAAATTTAAGTATTCAAAATAAATAACGTATATGCTTGACATATTAAGATAGTACTCCGTCTTTATAATGTTTTCTTCATTGGCGTGTTTAAAAAGTTGCTTACTTATTGCACGGATATCGAAACGAGAGTTGTCTTCCTTTCCTTTTTTAATAAATATAAGTGGGAGTATGTTGTAATGATATTTGTTTCTCACGGCATGGTGTTTTACTTTACACATGAGGTTATCAAAATGTGCTTTCTTACATTTGGTGCTTTTGAAATCATTAACATCTATTTAATTCATTTCTTTTGGATGATTAATCTATTGATGTGGTTACCGTGTTGTAAAGTCACAATTACAATATGGTCTGAATGTTGAGCGGCACTTCTTCTCCAAGAATTCTTTTACTTTTACAAAATGAGAGATGTTTGCAACATTAGTTTTTAGACATAATTTAAGGATGAAATAGTAATAATGGTGAATAGTGTAAAAAATAGAAGAAAAAGTAGGAGAAATGAAATAAAATATAAAAGAGAAGAAAAAAATAGGAAATATAAAAGCAGCTAAGTGTTTTTAAATGTAAGACTTAACGAGAAAGAGAAATGTTACGTTACAAATAAAAGCAATTAAGTGTTTTTTAATTTTTTACTAATAATGAATTAAAGATATTATTGGTCAAACTTGTGCGTTGATAAACGTAAAAAAATGAACTGTACCATTGCAATTAAAGAAAATGGAGGAGACATGTTTTTTAATCTCATAATGCAAACCACATATACCAGTGGTAACATCGGGGAGTCATTTATTGCAATATTATTATAGAACATAATACAATTGCATTCTTTTGAAGGGAAACTAGTTAACTATTATTATTAAAATCAAAGTCCAACGAAGTTTTAATACAAGAAGATAAATTATAATAAATCCACACATAGCGACCAGCCAAAGAAACAACAGCCCTAGCTAGATCATGAGCTACTTGATTCGCAAAACGCTTCACATGAGAGAAAGTAATGCTAGCAAAACTAGATGCAATTTCCCTAATATCATCAATGACCCAACCCATAGCCGAATCAATTCCTCCATGACAAATACTTTGAATGACCTGAAGAGCATCAGACTCGACATCAATATTATCCCAACCTTGTTGCTTTAACCAGCTTAGAGCCCCCCACGTAGAAAGAGCTTCAACCACATGTGGGGAGCTTCCATCCACTCGCGGGCCCCACATGAAACAAAGAAACCTCCAATATCCCAAATCACCCAACCCACAAGCATTGTCACCTAAGTAAGACGCATCCGAATTTAACTTCAGCCAACCTGCCTCAGGTCCATGCCAACGCGACAAACTGCTACAGTTCTGCATTTGTTTTGAGCCCCCCTCCTGAGCTCTACGTCACCCCTCCAAGTAGGCCTCAACTTCAGCTAAAATTCCTTCCACAGTAGCATTCTTCTGCTCCCAAACCTTCGCATTCCTGGCACACCAAATGCTCCATAAAAACATAATGAACACATATGCAACATCCCTCAATCTCCTTAATGGTGAAGAAATCGTCGACCCAATTTAATAAATCGGCTCCATCATCAACCGGGATATTCCACTGAACCTTCCTCCAAATCTGCCTAGTCATCTGACGCAGTCCAAAAATATGCAACACAGTCTTATCCTCTTGGGAGCAGAACGGGCACAAGGGCCAACAATCAACCCTCCGGCTCATAAACTTATCTGTTGTAGGGAGATAATCTGCACAACCTGCCAAAAAACGCCTTTACTTGGGGTGGAATGTTGAATTTCCACATCCGTGCCCATCCCACTATTAGATCGGGTTGAAATTCACCCACCAAGGCCCGATTACAACTACAACTACATCCAAGCCTTAATCCCAAAATAATTTGGGGTCGGCTAACATTAATCTATCTATGACATCGATGTTAAACAAACCCGATAGTAGCCACGAGCTGAAAAATTACTCTTCTCTTCCAAAGGCCAGAACATTTTATCCGGCACCTCCCTCCATCTTAATGGTAGCCCCAAAATACTCCCTCTTGTTAAATAACTCAGATATCAAATCGTTGCCCCAAGTCCGTTCATCATCAATAATAAACCCACCACTTTGCTATCATCTAGCCCTTGAAAACCCTCCGAGGAAGGTCTCGAATTAAATTCATCTGGCAACCAAGGATGCTTCCAAATATTTACTGACTTGCCATTCCCAATCTGCCACTTATACTTACTAGTAATAACCGGTTTTTCCTCAATAATACTTCTTCGTCTTCAATATTCACGTTTGAGTATAAATCTTCTAATGGCGTATACGAACTCGCCATGGTGCTCTGTATTGCTTCACGACCGAGAAGAAATCCAGTAAAAACTGGCGGCGCTGAACCCTAAGTCTCGCTGGGGGAGAAAGATCGTCTTAATGTCTATTTTTTAAAAAGAAAGATTCCGCCACTGTGTTAAATACAGTTACATTCTAATAGAGAGGAAGTAGTGTTTATTAGACTCAACTTAGGTAACAATATTAATGAGAAGGCCATTGAAGCTATTATAGCCTTTATGCGTTCAAAACCCATAAAAAATAATCCCGTTTTGTGCCAGAAGTGGGCCACAGTCAGGGGCCAACATAGTCACCGACCCACTCCAAATTTTAAAAATCTCTATATTTTGATCAATGTAAAAAGTTTTGAGTACTCCCCCCCCCAAAAAAAAAAAAATTTATTCTTTGTACCAGCCCAGTCAGTGCGCTTGCTCCGCCCGTGATCACATTATTGGATCCCCTGTATATGTGCGTGATTTGAACACCTTGCTTATCACAAAGCTTTTGAGTTTCTTCCGCCTTTTGTTAGAGATAAAGTGTGGGAGTATATTTTTCCGTCAAAATCTTCATAACCATTTTCGAGTCAGTTTCCGATTGGAAGTGAGAGAAGCCCTTCTTTAAGCAGTATGTGAGAGCTTTGAATGCAGCGATGGGTTCTGCTTGAAGATCATATTTGGCTTTAGTCGAGCTAGAGAGAGCAACAACCATATCACCTCTCGTCTACGAGAATTGTCCCACAAACACGTTTTCCTTATTTATAGGCAACATCAAAACTCAACCGAAGACTTGTAAGGATATATGTTCTTCAAGATAAATATTTTGCTCCTTTTTTAAGGCTTAAATATGTTTATGGTCCTTGTAATTATAGTGTGTTTTGATTCAGGTCCCCGCAAAAAAAAAATTGTTATTAATCCCAGAAATTCAAACCATTATCTCTTTTCATCCCCAACAATTAACTTTCGTTAAAAAGGCTAACATGGCTGTTAAATCCCTTTGCGAGTTGAACCATGTCATCACTCATCGAATAAGACTCCTAATTTATTTTCCAGCTCATTCCATGAAATAATTATATCACTTCAGTAGGGTTAATTAAGTTAAATATTTCACCGATCTCCTCATCTCTTCTCTGCCGTTCTAATTCTCCTTGCCGACTCTTCTTCTTCCCAACTCCTCCTTTCCGGATCTCGATGTGATTTTTTAAGATTGTGTGTTTCATTATTACTTTCTTTGAAATCAACGTGATGTTAATTTCTTGTACCCTTTGTATGTTGTATCCATCCAGCACACTTTTAAACCTTAAAATGAAGGAACACATAGATGGATTAAAAAAACAAACAAACTGACAGTGATATAATCATATAATCGAGCCGGAATTTTGAAAGGCCAGGCAAAGCCCGAAGGCTGCTGCTATCCCAATAGGCCAGCGGGCAGTTCTGGTCAGCAACAAAGTGTTACTTGCGGTTTAGAGTTCTTCAGACGGAACCAGTTATGGTGGGTGCTGCTAAGTGCTAATATACGTTAAATTCGTAGGGATGAAAACAAATCTGGTTAATTTGTGCTCGTGTCAAATGAGGTGGAATTAAAAAAAAATCAACATATAAATAAGTTTGATTTGGAAATAACATGTCACCCTTGTTAACATATGTTAACAGCCGGGGATAAGAAAAGATAACTGCATAAATTACAAGGATCAATAACATTTTTTTTATTTTGCAGGGACTTAAAACAAAACACACTATAATTACAGGGACCAAAAACACATTTTAGCCTTCTTTAAATGGTACTCAGCAAGATCCCTCACTAAACAAGACAATCAATGATAATATATATTTTTTGTTCAGAATGAGAAAGAGCCTATTGTTTAAAGTATTGTTTAATTTTTGGAAGATCACTCCAGCATCAAATAAACCAAAAATTGGTTCCCGAGAGAACATTCCTTAGAATCCCCTTCTTTCGAAGCAAGTCAGCCACAAAAAATCATTTTTGTAGATGCCTATAATCTGCAATGTTACATTGCAAATATCTAAATACATATCAATTAGAAAAGTATTCTAAACATATAAATATTGAGGTATTACATTTTTTGAAGTCCCAAATCCAAGTTCTATTCTCTTAAGGTTCTGAATGACCCCGACAAAACACTCATAGTAATACTATTATTTTTTAACTATATAATGATACATTTAGATGCAATTGTATGGGAATAAGAAATTTTAATAGTGATCCAATTAGCTCATAACATAAAATAAAATTCAAAGTAAGATGTCATTTGTAGTAAAAATTTAAATGGAAAGCACCATACGATTGAAAAGATGTGCATGTACGCCCATGAAACTCTCAAAAGAAACTACAAATTATATATTATAAATTTCTTTCTATGCATCATTCAACTCAGATGGACTTGTTAGTCTCGAGACCCCAATCATTTATAATTGTGCATGTGTAAAAAGAGTTGAGACCAGATTATTCAAGATTTGATTGGACCGATTCATTCGAGTTTTAACTCGACCAGACTATCAGGGACCAAAATTTACTTTCATTTTTTAGATGGTTCATCTTCAAAAATACTACCTCCGTCCCCTTTTAAATGTCCCGTTTTACCATATTGGGATGTCCCTATTTAATTGTCACATACCTTATTTGGTAAAGTTTGTGTGGCTCAAAATCATTCTTACTTTATTCTTACTTTATCAATTAATATCAACCACACAAACCCACTTTTCTTAAAACTCGTGTTACCCTCTTCCGGGACATTTAAAAGGAGACGGAGGGAGTAGTTATTATTAAAAAAAATTACCATATTAGCTTGAAATTCGATTATATTTTTTATGTTGTTTTATGTATGAAATTTTCTCATTTATTCTTTTATATTAGATCAGAAAATTCTCATAATATTATCACAGGGAAAATCGCACTTTTAGTTCCTGAAATATTCACAAAAAGAAAATATCGGACTCGTATTTATGATATTGTAAATGTCACCCCTCAATTGTCCAAATTGGTGTAAATGTGGCCCTTTAAGGGGTGAAATGTACTCTCACGGTCTCGCCCACATTTTATATTTCACTCCTCAAAGGACCACATTTACAGCATTTAGGACGGGTTTAATGCAAAAAAAAAAACCTGTGATATGGAAATTCGGCGCATTAGCCCACTGAGATTGAAAAATGCATCAACCCCCCGTGTGTTTTAATTAATCATGTACAGAGTCCCTTTTATGAATAAATTCAATTGTCAAATAAAAGAAAAATGATTGACATTTTTGTATGATTTAGAGATTTTGACATATTACTTGCATAATCAATCAAAATATTAGAAAAAGTGATTTACAAATCGTTAAATTTATTCATAAAAGGGGTTCTTTGCATGATTAATTAAAACACAAAGAAGGTTTGACACATTTTTCAAATTACAGGAGGCTAATGCACTGAATTTCTATATCACAAGGGGGTTTGGTGCATTAAACCCTATTTAGGACAATTGAGGGATGACATTTACAAACTTGGGAATACGGGTCTGACATTTCATTTTCATGACTATTTCAAGGACAAAAAATGCGTTTTTCCCTATTATCATATTAATTAAGTACTTAATAGTAATTACTAATATTTCTTATTTGAACAATTACTTCAATGAATAGTTTAACTGAAAAGCTTTAGAAAGTTAATACAAAATAACTCAATTAATCTCACACGGTGTATGTATTATCATTAAAAACAAGATAAACGCTAAAATGTACTCCCTCCGCCCTCAAAAGAAGTTCCTCATTGCTTTTCACACATATTAAGGAAAGAAATTTACCAGGGGTAAATTTTCTGTTTGAACACTGTTTGACACTGTTTGGATATAGATAATTTGTCAAATAAGAAAAGAAGAACTTAATTCGGGGACGAGTAGTACATAAAAGCATATATCTAGATTTCAATGTTTTAGATTATAATGAATTAAGAACATTTATCCAAAATGTGAGATGAGTGGTGTATAAAGAAAATTCCACATGTCAACACAACTAAGGGCCCGTTTACCTAGGACTTAATGAGCTGAATGGAAAGAATGACTTATTCACTCAGTCAATAAGTCATGTTTAGTTGCAACTTAATGAAAAACTGACTTATTCGCTCAGACGAAATATGACTTAATGGTTCGGCCGGATAATTACACTCCTTAGCTTAGAGACGTGTTATTGGCTTTTTTAACCCTATCTCTTTCTACCTTCGTTCTTTCTACTCCTTACGCATCTAGCAGCGCAAGATCAGCAAGCAGCACTCCATCATACTTCAAGCACCATCTTCATCAAATTAAAAAAAAACATCGGTTCATCTTTATCAACCAGAAGCTTAACAGTGCTACATTTTCGTCTTCATCATATTTCTACTCGTTATTGGCTTTATTGTCTTCTATAAACACATCTCCCAACTTTTATTGAAACACAAAATGAAATCTGAAGGTTGAATCCTTATTTTCCCCTATAAGGCCCTATTTCAGGTGTGTGCTGATTCAATTAAATGGTTGAAACAGTGTGTGGATTCAATTAGCTGAGCTTTGGATTCAATCCTTTGTTCGGATGCCCTTACGTAGGAGAATAAAAATGAGGTTAGGGATGATTTAAATGACAATAACCAGTTATGTCAAGGGGGAATTTGACTTTGCACCCCATGTTTTAGGTGATATTAGACTTTGCACCCCAAATTCAAAATCATTAATATTTGCACCCCATTAGCTCAAAATTTGTGAAGGAGTGGGGTGCAAAGTCAAATGATTATATAGTGAAATAGGGTGCAAATATTAATGATTTTGAAAATAGGGTGCAAAGTCCAATATCACCAAAAACATGGGGTGCAAAGTCAAATTCTCCCTTATGTCAATAAGGTATCAAATATTAATGAGGTTAGGAATGATTATTCGGTTAAATACATATAATACTATTTTCTTCTCTCTTAAAACTTTGTCACTTTTTATTTTAATCAATTAATATATTGTTTCTATTAATTACTCCATCTGTCCCCTTTTAAATGTCCCGGAAGAGGGTGACACGAGTTTCAAGAAAAGTGAGTTTGTGTGGTTGATATTAGTTAATAAAGTAAGAATAAAGTAAGAATGATTTTGAGCCACACAAACTTTACCAAATAAGATATGAGACAATTAAATATGGATATCCCAATATGATAAAATGAAGCATTTAAAAGGGAACGGAGAGATACATTATTATCATTATTAGTGTCAGGCAAATTTGATAAAATTTTTAGTGGAAGAAAATTAGTCATTAAATTAAATAGTACTCCGTACCAAAACACATTATTTTTGAAAGATCACGCTTATATCTATTTTTATTAATTAAAAGGCTGGCATGCCGGTCATTCGGTGGCACATCTGGTAACCTTGGGAATAATAGTGTGAGGGCTGGCGTTTTTAGAGGCTTTCTCCCCCTCCTCATCATGAGACGATGAAAATGACCGGCATTTGAGCTGAGATCGGCGGCCACAAAACGACGACGACGAAGACGACGCAGAGGCTGAGGACCAATCGCGATGGGTTCAGAGCAGTGTCACTCGGACAACGCGCATCAGACTTTAGGCATCCTATCTACCTTCCTAATCGGCGGGGTGGTGCTAGGCCTCTCCGCCATCGCCTTCTTCCTTACCCGGGCAGAGGCAGGGCGGAGCAAGAGCAAAAAGAAGAGGCCGATCAGGGTGTACATGGACGGCTGCTTTGACATGATGCACTACGGCCACTGCAACGCCCTCCGTCAAGCTCGCGCCCTCGGCGACCAATTAATCGTCGGCGTCGTTAGCGATGCCGAAATCATAGCCAATAAAGGCCCTCCCGTGACTCCTCTCAACGAGAGGTTGGTTTGTTTAGCTGCTTCTCCGCTTCTATTCCATTTCTTAGATCCCTATTTCCCATATTTCTAGGGTGTATTGTGTATGGAATCAGTGTCAAATTTTTAGAATTTCATAAGTTTAGGCGTATGTGAAATAAGTGTCAAATATTTAGAATTTCATAAGCTTAGGTGTATATGAAATTAGTGTCAAATTTATAGAATTTCATAATTTTAGGTGTATTGAATATGGACATTTAAATCTCTTTAAAAGTTTAGGTATGTTCAAATTTCAATTCATTCTTTATGGATTGTTGTTGAATTTTAATTCATTATTACATACAACCGGGAGTATATGAAATCAATATCAATTTTTTAGAAGTCCCTGCATTTTAAAATGGGGTGTATTGTATATGGAAACAGTGTCAATTTTTTAGGGGTGCATTGCGCAGTGGTTTTTCCAAAAATATTACTCCTCATTTAAATAAAACTTATGAAAAAAAATTGTGACTAAAATTACTATGAGTATAAACTCACTGTCACTGCAGTGTAAAATTGAACATGATCATAGTCCCTCAAAGTTATTAATATATTTACTTTTTATAAGAAGCCATATTTTGTCCATCCTCTTTAGTTTAGTATATGAGTTGTGTGGATTTTTATTTGTGGATTTTTAAAAAAGTCCATAAACTTGATAAGAAATAGACTTTTTATGTGAATGATATATATCAATTTTATGGAAATAAAAGTCTAAACAAGAATTGTTCATAAAAAAGGTCTAAACAAGAACAATGTTAACTAACATACATAAGCATAAACATCATCAAGCGCATTTTTACCCAAAGTGGTAAAAAAGAATAAAAAATCTCAAATGAAATAAAATATAATTCATCTCATAATGAAAAGTTCTGCAAGAACAAGTCAGATCCAAGCATCCAGTCAATTCTTTATCAAAGAACTCAAAATGTGATCTTGCTATATTATCCTAGTCAATTGGTAAGAAGTATAAATGTCACACTCATTGTTGCATGCAGTTCGAGTTTAGGTGTAAAAGATTCTTATATATAGGTGTGAGGAGGGGTGTAAAAGAATCTTATATGTGTGTGTGAGGAGGGGTGATACAGGCCTGTTCCAGTTTACCCGGATGGTTCCGGTGTGATGCTAAGACTGTCCGGTCTATTTGTCTATACACATGATTATATGAATAGTATATGAACATGCCATTTTACATTAATGATTAATATGTTTAAGATGTTTTTATCTTCGTAAAATAAAAAAACAAATTTAAGTTTTTATTTAAGTTTACCTTGTATATCAGTATTACAATATAGTCTCCTTATTCATATTTTATTTATCGTAAAATGATAAAAAGTCCAATTTAAATTTGCAAACCTTGAATGTAGAAATCATTCTCGCCCCCGACATGGTACCGGTTGAGGGCAGGCTGGTTGATTCGTTTCTGGAACCAGGTCCATGCGTATTTGTGGAAGTAGAAGGCGTAAGAAAAAGTTTACACAAATCTTTGGGGTAAAGAAGAGAAAAATAATAGAGAATTGTTGTAGGTAATAATGAGTTAAAAGTCCACAACAATTCATAGTTTACATTTTCTTAAGAATGAATTGAAGTTTGAGTATACCTACATTTTTAAAGACTTTTTAAAGTCCATATTCAGTATAGCTAAACTTTTAAAATGTATGGACTTCTAAAAGTTTGTCATTATTTCCATGTACAATACACCCTCAGTTGTAGGTAATAATGAGTTAAACGTCCACAACAATCTATGCTTTTATAATAATTCCATAAGAATGAATTGAAGTTTGAATATACCTAAACTTTTGAAGACTTTTAAAAACCTATATTCAATGCATCTACATTTTAAAATCCATGGACTTCTAGCGGGGGTGTATTGTATATGAAATTAGTGGCAAATTTTTAGAAGTCATGAATTAGTGGCAAGTTTAGGTGTATTGAATATGTACTTTTAAATCTCTAAAAGTTTAGGTGTATTCAAACTTTCATTGATTCTCATGGATTTATAAAATCATGAATTGTCGTGGGTTTTTAACTCATTAGTACCTACAATCAGGGGTGTATTGCATATGTAATTAGTGAAAATTCATTAGAAGTCCATCCATTTTAGAAGATTAAGTGGAAGCGGAGTATATGATATCCAAAGTTCCTTTTTTTTGCTCAAGATTCTTATTTAAACTTGGATTCCTTCGCTCAAAAATCGTAGTTAGCCCTATTGCCATTAAGATGTCCAGATGACCTCAACGCTTAAAAGTTGGGTAACTTGCAATCTGACGCATGTGTATATCTAAGCTCTTTTGTGATGCACTATTCAAAAGAATGCTCATATCTTTGGTCACAACTGGGGATTTTTTACTACGCTATTGTGAATGAAGTACTTCATGTTCTTCTATCAGACCCCTCAACTAATGTCAAATGTATATCTCGCGCTTGCATATTTGTAGGATGATTATGGTTAATGGCGTGAAGTGGGTAGACGAAGTTATTTCTGATGCACCATATGCCATCACAGAAGATTTTATGAAGAAACTTTTTAGTGAGTACAATATAGATTATATTATTCACGGAGATGATCCATGCCTTCTTCCTGACGGGACTGATGCATATGCCCTTGCCAAGAAGGCTGGACGGTACAAACAGATCAAGCGCACAGAAGGAGTCTCAAGCACTGATATTGTTGGTAAATGTTTTTGCTGCCTTAAAATATTTTGCATTGCATCCTCATTTCTATCTCAACCGGACGATAGAAGTTCCAATATTTGGGCTTGATGGACATAAGGGCATCCCCAATATGCTATGGGATATGGGTTTTTATGTAGTGATAATCTTATCCATTTTCCACATTATTAACCACGTAAGACTAAAAGTGTTTTTCTGAATTTGGTTTGCACTTCGGCTTATAATTTCAAGAGCTATATGTTTCTCCTTTGTCTAAGTATAAAGTTATATTATTGCACATACGAGTAGGTCGAATGCTTCTTTGCACGAGAGAGAGGTCCACTGGTGACACCCCTAAAAATGCATCGTTGCAAAGACAATTTAGCCATGGAAACAACCAAAAATCTGAAGATCGTGCTCATGGGAGTGAAACCCTGATATCTCAGTTTCTACCCACTTCTCGTAGAATAGTGCAATTCTCCAATGGGAAGGTGTGTTTCACTTTTTTTTTGCTACTTTTATGTTTCTAGGCCAGAAGCAATAAGCTAAATTTCTGATACAGGCATATAGCTTTAATCATTTAATGACCACTTCTTATGATAGTAATTCCCTCTAATGCTGCTCACTTTCACCCATGTGTGTCAAACAACCTATTTCTTTGAGTGGGACAACTTGCAGCAATTTAAGATTTTTTTCTTTTATCCTTCTGTGCTTTCCATGTAAATCTACTTGTCATCTCCTGCTATTGATTTTAAATGCGATCACACTAAAAAGAATATTATACTACATTGTGAATTTTTTTGGTGATTGATATATTTTGGAATTTCAATTTAGGGACCTGGGCCTGATGCTCGCATAGTTTATATTGATGGTGCCTTTGATCTTTTTCATGCTGGACACGTAGAGGTATGCGTGATAATTCAGATTTAAAGAATGTTTTTTGGATCACAGATACATCATGCATGGCTATATTATATGCCACATGATATTTATCATAGCCCAATTTTGTTGTTGCTGGTGCTTTCTCTCATGATGGAATTAAATGTGCTAAACTGTACCATTAATACCATTTTGTTATATTTCTAATTGTAGTAATGCGTGAAAGTTTGGTTCCATTCATTACTTATCTACTGATTTCAGATATTAAGGGTTGCGCGGGCACGTGGTGATTTTCTACTTGTTGGCATTCATACTGATCAAACAGTCAGGTAACCAATTAAACATGCACTGCTTCACAAAGTGTCTTTGATGGTGATCACTATCCCATCATTCTATTGTTTACATTATTAAATACACAATGTAAGATGTAAAGCGAAGTAGGGGTGAACAAAAAAACCGAAAAACCGAAACCGACCGACAAACCGACCGAAACCGAACCGACCAAAACCGAAACCGACTCAAACCGATTAAACATTGGCGGTTCGGTTTACGGTTTCACCTTTGGGGTTAAAAAACCGACCGAACTGAAACCGACAAAAACATGCTAAAACTAACCGAAACCGACACGAACCGACCAATATTAACCGAACCGAAACCGAACCGAAACCGACTCAAGTAGTGCGGTTCGGTTTACGGTTTCACATTTAAAAAAAAACCCGACCAAACCGAACCGACCAAACCGAAAACCGACCAAACCGAACCGACGAACACCCCTAGAGCGAAGTAACTAAATGGCTAGGGTGAGTAGCGAATCGTTGCAGTTACTCATCCACAATCGGTGATATTCCTCTTTCTTTAGTAAAATTAAAAATTTACGTGCTACTCCGTATAATATTCTAATTATACTAGTCTTACAAGTCTTATATATATGAAGAAAAAAATAATAATTCACAATAAGTTGTTACATGCGTGGTTGGGATCTCATTTCAAATCTAGGAATTACATGATAGAGACTATCTAGGTTTACAGAAGATTCACAGAAATCTATGAAGAATCAATCTGAAATTGTATTGAGATGAACCAAAACAGTATAGTAACAAGAACTGGCCGAAGCCCCCAATGAGCCGAAGCCCCCCAAAAGAAAGAGAAAAGTTCTCGATCTTCCCAAAGTCCCAAAGTCAAAGTCCAAAACAGCCTGCCCTACCTCCCCCCAGCTTATTCTATTTATACTCAACTTGTACACTTATTATTAATAATGCTCTATTGGGCCGGGTCCCTAACAAATCTCCCCCCCTAAACATCCACCTTGCCCTCAAGGTGGGAGATAGGACACAGCCATAATCCTCTTCTTTTCTTTTATCCTAGCACCTCTCCCTTTCCAATACTGTATTGATTGCTGGAATTTTAGCTTTGCGGCTTCCATCTTTTTCCCTATGTATTTCACAGTAGAGTTATACATATGCCAGACTACGTTATCCAGAATTTTGATTCCTTCAGATTCTTTGGAGGCTAAGGTGCATCCTGCTGCAACATAGAGGGCAGCAACTTCTTGCTTTTGAACACTCTCTTCTTCAATGTCAGTAGGTAACCCTTGATAGCTCAGCAATTTTCCTCCTCCATTCCTATTCACCAGGCTCTTCATCTCCTTATAAATTCCCAGTTGACTGAATGAAGGATCTCCATGTATGATTACCTTCTGCCCCTGAACCTCCACTTTGATGGTCTGATTTTGGAAGTTAATCTCAGTATCTCCCAAGCTTGTAAGCCAGTCCATGCCCAACACCATATCTGTTCCCCTCCACTCAAGCATATAGTAAGGTTGCTGTATTTTCAGCCCTTGAAGTTCCAATTCCAACCCTTCACACATTCTATTGTTGGTGATTTGACCTCCATTACCTATCTGTACAGAGTATCTTCTTATCATACGGTAGGGTAACTCCCATTTTCTCACAAATTCTTGAGAAATGAAATTATGGGATGCACCAGTATCTATAAGGATTTCAACCTTTTTTTTTTCAGATTTCCACTTCAATTCTCCTTTCATCTTGAATGTTTTCATGCTTGGAATCTCTTCCTTACTTATTGGAGATAATTGCAGAGTTCTGAATTCCATTTCGGTTTCATCTTCCTCCTCGTTATCCTTCCTGACATATTCAGTTTCTTTTTCTCCTCCAGAATCCTCCACAAGAACAAATTTGTAGTGTTTCATTTTGCAGATATGCCCTCGGTTCCAGTTTTCCCCACACTTGAAACATAAACCTTTCCTACTCATCTCCTGCAGTTCATGTTGTGTTAATCTGGGACTTATCTTCTTGTGAGCATAATTGGCTGATTCCTCCTCCTTATCCATGGGCTTAATTTCATTGATGATCTTGCCAGCACTTGTAGTAGTAATAGGACTGCTCCTCCATCTACTATTATCTCCCCCATTTTGAAGCTGACCTTCATTCCCGGCTTTTCCTGACCACCTCTTCTTGCCTTCATCTTTATTCTTCTTGATCCAGACTTCATTATTCTTGTTTTCAATCAAAGAGGCTGTGTCCATGACCTTAGCCAGAGTCCTGGTAGTGTGTAGCTTCAACTCAGCCCTTATATCCCTTTTCAACCCTTTTATAAATACTCCCTTCAATACTTCTTCAGTCAAGTGTCCCTGAGAAGCAATGGCTGTCTCGAATTTATCTCTATATTCTTTCACACTCCCCTTTTGTTTCAGACTGAATAAAGGTCCTAAAGGATCTTGCACCAAGTTTGGTTGGAAACGTTTGGTCAACGCAGCTGTAAATGATTCCCAGGTTTGTCGATGTGCTTGCCCTTCCCACCATTGAAACCAGCTTAAGGCCTGGTCTTCCATGGCCACAACTGCAACATCAATCTTATCCTCTTCTTCAGTGTTATTCAGTCGGAAATAACGATTCATTCTTAGTAACCATCCTCCTGCATCATCGCCATTGAATATTGGCAAATCAACTTTTCTTCCAGTGTGCTGATGATGTTGTTGCCTTCGTCGGGGATCGCGTCTGTGGAGTGACGATGATTGACCAGCCGAACTACTTGATCCATCGGAACTGCCTTCGTCCTTAGACCTTCGATGCTGTTTCTCGCGATGCATAGTAGTCGATCGATGAGAGGTATGTGACCGATGCGAGTGGCTTCGCGATCGGCTCGAGTTGTTTTTCTGTAATTCCGCCAGATTCGCTTGCAACGTCGCCTGCATCGATGTCTGGAACGAGGCCATTTTCTCAACCAGCTGATCCGCCATAATACTCTGCAATTCTCTCATCCTCCGATCCAGTTGATCGTTCAATTCTCTTTGGTTTCTTCCAATATCCACCATGCTTCGTTCCACCTCATTCATTCTGGCTTCCATTTTGGCGCGCGTGTATCTCATCCAGCGATCGCAAGCTCTGATACCAATGATAGAGACTATCTAGGTTTACAGAAGATTCACAGAAATCTATGAAGAATCAATCTGAAATTGTATTGAGATGAACCAAAACAGTATAGTAACAAGAACTGGCCGAAGCCCCCAATGAGCCGAAGCCCCCCAAAAGAAAGAGAAAAGTTCTCGATCTTCCCAAAGTCCCAAAGTCAAAGTCCAAAACAGCCTGCCCTACCTCCCCCCAGCTTATTCTATTTATACTCAACTTGTACACTTATTATTAATAATGCTCTATTGGGCCGGGTCCCTAACATTACAGAATACGAGAGATAAATAATTAAATAAGCCAAAGCTAGCCAGTATTAACCAGTGCCCGTCCTTGTCAAGATACACACGAATTAATTCTTCCCAAGCTGTTCATTGAATAATACTGATGACCCATTGACCCTTATATAGTTATTACAAGAGTACCATATATAAAAGAAAATAAATGCTAATTAAGAAATTGCCTAAAGCAGATATTGAATACTTATAAGGAGATAAATGCTAATAAAAAGCTGCCTAAAACATACACAAGAGTAATAATCATAATAATAATAGGGAAAATCTCACTTTTGGTCCCTCAATTAGTCACCATATTGAAATGTCAGACCCGTGTTATGAGATTTGTCAATGTCACCTCTGAATTGACATATGTCTTGTAAATGCCATCCCCGCCGTTTATAATCCATCTCCAATTCTAGACTACCAATAAATTCACCGAGGATGACATTTACAACACATATGCCAATTCCGGGGTGCCATTTACAATCTCAGAAGTACGGGTCTGACATTTCCATTTGGTGACTGGTTGAGGGACCAAAAATGTGATTTTCCCATAATAATAATAGTAGTAATAATAATAATAATATGAGGTTTCGTTGCTCATATCACAAGTATCATAATTCATAAAGCAATAATATAATCAGTCCTAATCCTTATAGTCTAAATTAATCATCATTTGGTTCCAGATCAAAACTATATTCATCTTCATCTTGAGTGAGAATTTATAGTTATACAAATTATTAAAATCCATTAATTGATTTTTAATCACACAATGACTCCATTTTATTATCAATATTTTGCTTAAACTATGACCGACTCACTCATTGAGTTACCAGAATCAAATCACAAAGTCGCTAAAATTGTTGGGTACTCGCCGAGTGAATTGGACTGAGTAGGTGGAGTGGGGAACAACTCACAAGGTCCAGGATCAAGTAATGAGTACTCCGGTGAGTACTACCTAATCAATAACATAGAACAAAAGTTAATATTATAATGTAGTTTCAGATTTTATTCAGATTTTATTTATTTACATTTCCCGTCCCCAAATTAGGCTGTCCTTTGCTTTTAGCAGTCTTATTGAGGAAGTTAGATTATGTGGTTAAAATTTATTTAGAAAGGGTCAAAGGGGAGAAGAATATGAACCACACACTTCTCACCTTTATTTGGTAATGATAAGATGCTTTTGAGATAGGACAAAAAATGAAAGTGGGAAGCAATTGGGGACATAGGGAATGTAAAATTTTTACATGTGATGGTAAAAATTTGGCTTCAAATAATTCACCAGATCTTTTACATGTGTAAAATTCAATGTGTAACAGATTGAAATGGAAACACTACAAATCGAATGGAAACACTACAGACATGTTTACTTCACTTCTTAGGAAACAGTGCTAACTGACTTTGGCGTGAATGAGCTAGCTTAATAAAAAGTGCTTAATAAACAAATGTTTACTTCACATCAATTAAGTTATGTCTCAACTCTGTAACGTCCTAAACACTCCTCTTCTTTGTAGGAAAAAATAAGAGTGCATCACTGGCATCACTTTCATTTTTCCTACCATCTTTCCCATCAAAGTCTTCCTTCTTACCTTTATTAAAGGAAACCAAACTTCATTTTGAATCATTTGTTTTCGAGCGGAAAACTTTTGATTTATTTGAGATATCTGGTTTAAAAAGATCTGGAATTTTCTTTTTAAGTTTGATTGTTTCAATTATATCTTCATTTGACCAGCCCTTACTCATTCATTTGCATCAAGCGCCAAACGGAAAGTAGAATTGACTAATCTATAGATAAATAATAGTTCAAATCTAGTTGAGAACATGACTTGATAAAAAAACTCCAACCTGATGAAGATATCCAAACCTAGGATTGTGGGATACCAGTTGAAATATAAAACTGTTCTAAGAGAAGGAGGAAGTCAATCTGTGTTAATTTCCTGTTAGGATTTAATAGAGGTCTATTTGTTTAAGATGAAGTGGAAGATGAGGTAAATCTTAATGCAGGAATGATCGAAACACATCTGACATGAAAAGAAATTAAAAATTCTTTATTTTTAATAAAGAGGGTACACTTGTCACTAAGAGAGCGCCTCAGTCGGCACTTAAATAATACACGGGGTCCTGCACTCCTGCTTATTAATACCTAACTATGGTTTTAACAACGAAATAAACTTGCCTTGGGTGTGCTCATTATTGTTATAGTTACTGTTACTCAGAGGAGTTGCGGAGTTGATTAAAAAATAAGGAAGTGCCGAAGGAGTTTAAAATGTTAATAATCCATATTAAACTTCTCGTCCAATTTTAAAAGGGTGTTTCAGATGTTGGTATGACTTTTGCATCATAATGTTGATAAAGTGTAGGATTCAAGGTTTGACGTGATTTTAGTTTTTAAAATGATACCATTTTCCAGGCAGCAGACTTGGGTTCAAATGTCTTCACCTCTGCCCCCAACCTATTACCTGAAAATATATATTCTACTCTTTGATGTAGTTATCTCATGTTAACATTTATTTCAAATATAGTTCTTGTGTCGGTGGTTTTGATGAAATGTTCTTGCATTGTTTTCACAGTTGTCTGGTTTTTCTAAGGGTGGTGCATTCATGAAGCGACTGTTATGGACTTTATTCTTAATAACATATATGCTCTTTTTTAAAACGTGTGTAAACTTCTAAGAGTTTTAGAGTTCATCTAGTTTAGTCAATGAGTACATAGAGCTGAATTGATTTATAAGACAGTATACAATTCTTGTGAATGAAGCAAATCTGTATATTTTTTTCTGCTTTTATCTATTGGATATTGTGGTGGCTAATGGATTTATGTCTTTTTTTGTTTCTTGCAGTCGACACAGAGGTGCACACCGTCCAATAATGAATCTTCATGAGAGAAGCTTAAGTGTTTTAGCATGTCGCTATGTCGATGAAGTGATAATTGGTGCTCCAAGGGAGGTTTCGAAAGATATGGTAATCCTTAATTCAAAGCATTGTGGTGTCTTATAATTGCCTCTTCCACTTCAGATCTGGTTGTGCTCTCAATGCTGGTTCACCTTTTTAATGGACGAGATCAAAAGACAAGGCATAAGGGATGAAAAAAAGAAAGATATTGCTAGATTCTCTCAACAAGTGCTTTAAGCATATGTTCCCTTGAAAGTTGGCTAAAGCATGACTTAATTGCAGTGAATAATGTTATCTGCTGCTTTAAGATATTGTCAGAATATGTTCACATTTTGACTATTACTCAATTGGGTTTGTTGCAGATAACAACCTTTAATATCTCTCTAGTTGTCCATGGGACAGTAGCTGAGGATAATGATTTTCAGAAGGTACTATTATACTAAAGAGGCTTTTATCTATGTATCCATCTATTAATTAATTACTTGAATAATGAATTAATTTAGACTCTATTGTATTATATATCATGTATGATATCCAACAATATGTATAGCCTCATTCAGTAACTGATATTGTTGGTTTTACAGGAAGAGGGAAACCCATATGCTATTCCAAGAAGCATGGGCATTTTTGAAGTACTTGAGAGTCCTTTGGACATTACAACTAGCACAATAATACGGAGAATTGTATCAAATCACGAGGCTTACCAGGTAAGCATTATTATACCAGTTTGCCTCAAACATATGCAATATTGTAGTAGGGATTCTCTACAATTTTGTAAAATTCTTTTCACGTGTTTGCAAACACATTCATAAATTATATTTGATGGTAAGATTAGTAATTAACTCTGGGAGATGATATACGACTGTGATCTTTGACAAAGTAACTCTAGTGGTCCGGTGTGAAACTTAGAATATCTAAAAAAGTTTTTAATGGAGATATGCCTTGAAGTAGGAAAAGTAATAAATCATGTAGATTTAAATCATAATAATTTTTTATGTTCAAATAAAAAGAATGTAGATTTAAATCATGCATCCAATTTCCCAATGCAGAAAAAACGCACCTCACCTGACACTAGATTCGGGCCCTAAATGAATTGAATCAAACGAATATCCAAATATCTGGAATTGCTTTGATAAAATTTATCTGTAGTTGAGTCTAGATTCATACCTTGAAGTGGATTCGAAATTTTGAATCAAAGCTATTTTATCTGTTCAAATTTGATATGAATATATTTTTAGCATCCCAAGAAATAATTGAATGTTGATGCAATGATGCATTTAATCTGTTGTTTTAAACAATACACAGTAATTGAGCAACAATTGTGGATGCTAACCTTGTTGTACATTATTACGTTTCTAGTATAGTAATGCGGTATTTTGCTGAACACAAAATTCAAAAACGTTGTAGTCGGATTCGGATTCAATAGTTATTCAAATATTTTTTTGAGTAATTGGAATTTGAGCTTCAAAATGTTTCGAAAAAATCAATTCGTTACAGCCCTAGTGGCTGCAAGCTGCGGTGGGGTTAAAACCCTTCTACCCTAGCGATTTCACCACCTTACAAAATGACGTAACCATGCATGTAAAGCACCAAACTTTGGTGCAGTGGAAATGCCTTGTATAAAATTTCTTCACACCATAACAAAAAATGAAAACAAGGGGGCCTAAAACCTATAATTTGCATTTTGGCAAGTATTGTATCACCATTTTTAAAGATGAAGCAAACTTTTTAGACCACTAAGTGAGTAGACTTGCAATATTAACACATTTGATTTAATTTATCCAGAAGCGGAACGAGAAGAAAGCAGAAAGTGAGAGGAGGTATTATGAGGGAAAGACATACGTTACTGATTAGCTGATTTTGAATAGGTAACTATGACTTTTGAGAGAGTACTATTATGGTCTTTTATTCCCACCTTTCTGTTGCTTATATGTAGAGTTGATTTGATGCCTTTGTATATGGTGTATGTCAGTGTATGCTGACGAGGCGGGGCTATACCGCACATTTAGTGTTGGCCATTGCTGTTGAAGATCTTTGTTCTCTTGTTTATTTCTGGGGTCTGTTTTTTCGCTCCACTCTATTGATACCTTATCTGTATTCTTTAGCCTATACCTATGTCACAATCTGAAGTAGATAGCCACTTCAGCTTGAAAAGAAATTTAGTGTTTATAGGGGAGCATGTTCCCAATGAAGGTAAACCTTAGTTGCTGAATTTTTCAAAAATTTTGTACCCAATTCATCTGTATATTTATATAAGTATGTAAGAGTGTTGATATTTATTGAGATGCATATTCTGATTCGAGTGAATAACTTTTCATGAATTAGCTGGCATTCATTTTTGGCATTCACTTATCATGAACTGTTCATACTACATTACTACGTATATTGTTTTTTTCATTTTTGTCTTGGGCTCTAGGCGTGGTTGTTTCAAGGTCACCTAAGCTTCATTTATATTTACATCTGGGTTCAGTTTGTCTTTGCTTTTACTATTGTAAAAAGAACATGGTTTTTCAGAGAACCTAGATTCACCATTGGGATTTGGGAACTTTAAAAACTTCCAATAACTTGTTGAGAAGGTAATTAGGGGCGTAGCCAAGATCAAAACTTGGGGTGGTAGAAAGAGTATTTTCCGATAAATTTTTACACATATTCTTACACTAAAAATATGAAGGATTTTTAATCTTGGGGTGGGCCGAGGCCCGGTTGGGCCCCCTCTACCTCTTCCCCTGAAGGTAACCAATCATACGGTGCACCGGTTCCTCAGGACTCGGGAGTTATTAAACATTCAACTTTAAAGTTTTTTTTTCCACCCGGAATTCCGGAAGGTAAACCATTAAGATTAGTGAGGTAAATGCTGGGAGACATTTACTGGAGTTTATTAGAAAAAATAAAAATTGCAAGGGCGGTGCTAGACCTGACCCAGTCTTGAAAGCAGAACAAAACAAGAAAAACAAAAGTAAAAGACTAGAATCTGAAATGCGCGGCCACCCAAATAAATCAGCGTAACTCCAGATCCGGCCAAGAAATGGGCCGCATAATTCCCTTCCCGCAAGGTGTTCTTAGCCCATGTCCTTACCCCTGCTCTTGAATGTTTGAAAACAATGTATCTCCTGCTCGTTGCCCTTATATGAAATCAGAGAGAGTTCACCGCATCAACTTCCACTTGAAAGCCTCCATAACCCAAATACATCACTATTTCACACACATTTACCATTGCTAGCACCTACGCCTCTTCGCTCGTCGAAGCATGAAGAGTGAAACAAGCAACCAAGAGAAACTCGCCTAGATGATTCCTCATTATCGCGCCCCCAGAAGTTGTATGAGGTAAGAATGAAGCATCAATGTTCAATTTAAAATCTTTTCTATGTCTTTTCCACTTCACCACACTACACCATGAACCCTTAAATCAAAATCCCAAAGGGAATCAATTTCTTCTGAAAAAGAAACTCATCAACTTAAAAGTTTTTCAAAATATGAAGTACATACAGAGCCCGTTTGGTAGCATGAAAATCGACTGATTTGGCTGATTCTGCTAAAATTTATGAAGTTCTGACTGAAGCGGCTGCATTGGCTGATTTTGCTGATTTAAGAAAAAATTATTTTTAAAAAATATTTCATTAATAAATTAAAGAAAAAATATATGTAAAATAGCTAAAATGGTCATCTATAGTAACTTCAGCCAATACAACCAGAAAAGTAACTCCAACCTTACTTTTTTTGCTTATTACACAATTCAGCGCACGAAAGCAAAAATTGCGTGTTTGGTAAGTTGGCTGATAAACCTGATAAGCCGAACAATAGTGTTGCCAAACGGCCTCACAATTTATAAGCTAAATAACTACTACTGACAACATATTATTAGGTGTTTTGGACTTAGTGACAAATTTGGGGACAAACTTTATATTGTGTTAAAATGATTTGTTACTTTTTATTTTAATTTTTTCGGAGTTATTGATTTTTTATTAACAGGTTTAGTAATCATGTTTCAGGTCAGATTAGACTTTTTAACTGGTCAGATCGAAAAACCATCCTATAACTGGTAGTGAGTCTAGATATATTAATACAAGTCTAATTTGTTCAGATAAATGTTAAGACGCGGGGTTCCATCCTACAAGATCAACCTGATAGGAGGAGTAGCCCAAAGTCTTATGTACTATTTAATTGTTTTATAGTTTTCCGGTGTGGGACAAATGTTTTAACACGCCCCCTCAGCCCAAACCGGACTGAACAATATCAGGATGTATAAACGGGCAAAAAAAAACCCTTAACAAGCTAGCATTAATCATGAGTGCTAAACAAGCCGTCAAACCACAATCGGAATTGTCTCTGATACCATGTTAAGACCCGAGGTTCCATCCTAAAAGATCAATCTGATAGGAGTAGCCCGAAGTCTTATACAGTGTTTAATTGTTTTATAGCTTTCTGGTGTGAGACAAATGTTTTAACAATAAAAGTCTATCCTGGACCGTTTCCATCCCTATCTACTAGCCAACAAAAATGTTTGTGAATCATCTTAAACTCAACAAAAATGCTAATATATTGCGTATATATGTTTATAAAATTGTGGGCATCCCAGGAGTGGTTGATTGAAAAGGACTCTCTGCTAACAAACATCCTTATGCGAATCATTTTAATTAAATTGAATAAAAGGCCAAACACGTTTTTCTGGCCTTGGTTAAAAATACTCCGTACAATATAGTGCATATATATGTGTTCATATCCCATGAGTAGTTAATCGAAAAGGACCCCGCTAACAAACTTTCTTTTGGGGTAAATTGAACCTTGTTACGCAAGTACAATTGTTTTTCCTTAAAACGATACTTCCTCAGCGTAAATTTGATCAAAGTTACTTACATGTGAAATACTCCGTAATAAAGTTATGTGATTAGGATTTGTTCAACCACATGATTATAATTTCAAGTTGAAGTGATATTTTTTTACATACAAAAAAAGGTTGGTAATAATTGTACTTCACCGTAAAAAGAGAAAGGTGTTGGGTGTAAAAAACGCCAATATCGTTAGTTCCATCTTTTAGTGAGATTGGCATTTGTAAGATCAACTTTTTATTTTTCAAGAAATTGATTAAAATTAAAAATATTAAATTATTTGACACGTTGATTTTCTCACAATAATAGGGTGTTTTAATTGGATTAATTTTTTTGGATTAATTTTAATTGGATTAAATTTAAGTCTATGATTTATACTTTGTATGTATTGTTCTCCGAGTATTATCTAAGTGTGATTTCATCTTATTTGATATGTCTAAATTTGTTTGATTTTTTAAATTATGAGCTCTTCTCAAATCGTAATTTAGTCCTAACTAAAATCGTCAAGGTATATCTCAAATTCCAAATTTCCAATACGAGAAATTTCAATGTTATTAACATGAATAATTCTTGGTGTACACCCTGGGGTACACCCTATTATTTGTCATTCACACAAACAAAAAGTGCACAAATACCGACACTTTCGGTAAAACTGTCGGTGTGAAGAAAATTAGTTTTCAGATTTGCCAGGCTGGTTGCACGGAAACCAATGTCGGTGTACACAGACACTAGTTGTTGGTGTAGACAAAAAAATGCCGGTGTGAACAAATTTGGTTTGCAAATCTGCGGTTATCTGCCAGAGGGTTGGAAAACCGGTGTCAGTGTAAACCGACGTTAGTTGTATGTGTAGGAAAAGTGTTTGTACATATACAATTTTTGTTTTATGCACACCAACACTGGTTTGCTTTAAGTGTCTGTGAACACAGATGAAAATTGTACATGTATAGACACTTTTTCTACACAGACAACTAATGTCTGTGTACACCGACACTGGCTTTCCAACCCCCTGATAGACTTGCAAACCAAATTTGTTCACACCGACACTTTTTTGTCTACACCGACAACTAGTTTCTGTGTACACCGACAACAAGTGTCTGTGTACACCGACATTGATTTCCGTGCAACCAGCCTGACAGATCTGAAAACTAATTTTCTTCACACCGACAGTTTTACCCAAAGTGTCTGTATTTGTGCGTTTTTTTATCTGTGTGAATGACAAATAATTAGTGTGTACCCAGGGTGTAACCCGGGGTACACCAAGAATTTTCCTATTAACATTACTTGATACTCGGTATACTCTTTGTATTATGTACCAAAAGAGTGAAAAGACGCACACAGATGTGTCATCATGTCATGTGTGTACAGTGTATACACACATACTTCGTACATTAATATAATACTCCTGTGTCCCATTTTATAAGATATCTTTACTATTCACTCGGTCAATACAAATCATTCTTAATATCAGGGACGGATCCAGGATTATGAGTCAAGGGGGGCGAATTTTTTTCATTAGTGTAGGGAGTGAAAAAAAAATTCGATGTTAAGCGAGATAGGAAAAAATTCGTTAGTGTAGCGGGACAAAATTTTTTCTCTAGTGTAGGGCTCTGCGGGTAATTTTTATTCAAAGAGTTCCATTAGTACATACTAAATACACGATGACATATTAACATTTATATCTATTATTATATTCCAATTCTAATTTTAGACAATGAAAAGATAACTTTGATTTAATAACTATAAGTGCTCTAGAAAAACGTATTGATACATTAAAGCTTAACAAATGACAAATCAAAGAAAAATTATTTGAAAATAAGAAAGGATATATAACATTTTATGATATTATTTCAAGGTAATGAGGTTAAAATTAAAGGTACACATCAACCAATGCTTTTTAAATAACTTATTATGTCTTGTTTAACCACATGAACCTTAACAGAATAAAGAATTGGTTTTTGAATTGAGATTTTTGTCTACCAAGGAGGGTATTTGTGGGTCACGATGAAATTTCTTAATATTACAATAGTATGTATGAGATTATTATACTTAGAATACTATAATACGTAGTAATGTTAAATCATATATATGGTGCATATCATATTTGTATTGATGCTAAAATAAGTTATAGTATTGTCTACTCAACAAATTGTTTTTAGAAAGTAAGAGGTAAACGAAGAGTGTAATCTAATGTCAACAAACATTTATACTATTTAACTACTGTATCTCAAATTCAATATCATTTGATATCTTACAAAATCGAGTACTAATTATCTAATAAAGATAATTAAACATTACAAAACTAAGAATTTTTAGGTATCCTAAGTCTTAAACAATGAGTTCTATTGTTTATTTGTTTAAGTTATGTAAATTATTTTAGATTCTACTTCTTTTAAATCACCAATTAACTATTACATTATGTGAGCCTATATATTAATTTTGAAAACTAAAAGTTAAGGGGGGCGAAAACATATATATCTAATTAAAGTAT